GTTCTCTGCACAGAGCGTAGAGCTCTTTAGTGGAAGAGTGCTATGTATGTCATGCAAATACATGACATACGGAATCAAATTCTTCTCTGTGCTTTTGCCACTCTCTGGTAATCAGTTATGTAATAATGCACTAAATGATCAATTGGCAGCCTGGTGGGTGAACGCACTTCTCTAAGTGCCTTGAGAACATGCTGGGAGGGGCTTAGATACTAAGAAGAATAAAACTCAATAATACACGTCGGCACTGATCCACTTGAGAATTAATGTCTTGAGAAATCTCAATGGAAAAAAATCTAATTTCACAGCCACAATGGCATTTGATTTGCATTCAAAGAGAGATACTATTCTGGTCTGGTTGCTCAGGGAGGGAGCAGAGAGCTCAGGAAAGCTTTTAAGTCTTTAATAATTTTTCCTCATTTCCCATTACCAGTGAATGCTCACTAAGTTCATGACACTGCCTGCCAGGACAGCCAAGTCAAGAGCAAGACTGGTCTGGTTGGTGCCTCTGAGATTTTTATGGCCCATAATTACCAGAAATGTCTCTTACCTGGAATTCAGCTAAGGAGTTCACCCAAAGAGCTAGTATCCTAACCAATGTGCACACACATAAAATAAATAAATAAATAGAAAGGAAGAAAAGCCTGTGGCCTGTCATGCGTCGGTAATCCCAAACTCCCAACTCCAGTATAAGGTACAATTTCTGGCCACAAATTGTTTACAATTGAGTTGAAGAAATGCATATGCTGGTTTTAAAACAATTGGTGAGCATCATATTCTACGCCAAAGTTCAGGGAATAAATAAAAAAAATTAGGGCAAGTAAAATCTGTGGGCTGGGACAATCAGATGGAAGTCTCATGAGGACAGCAGGACCTGAACTTGGTGTTTTGAAATAAAGAAGGGCTCTGACTACAAGGAGCCAGTGTGGTATCGCAGAAAAAGAAGGGTCTTTGGGAACAAATTGGCCAAGTTTTAGTTTTGTTTGTCACCTCAGACTAGTTGCTAAACCTCTCTGCATCTCAGTTCTCTCCTGAGCAAACTCTGCTGAGATGAATAACAGGTGCGGGGCAAGTCAGATTTAACAAGGTGGAGGGTGTGGAGAAAAGGCAACTGAAGGAGCTGAACCAAGAGGCAGAGTATAAGGGAATAAGTCTGTGGGGTAGCAGTGTGTTCACTGATTGGAGAGCGCGAAAGGTAATCTAGAGAGAAGTGCAAATAAATCAGATTATGGGAGGAAATAGAAAATGTGTAGGTCAGATACTCGAGTTATTTCAGTTAACCGGAAAATTGTGTTCACCAATGCACTCAGCTCTCTGATGTGAGGGGATTTATTGTAAAATTTGGCACTCTCCTGGCTGTGCTTCAGGTCTTGGTTTTGGTGTCACCTCCTGGGGAAGCCATCCAGAGTTTCTAAGGCTAGACTGTGTATGTGTTTCTATTGTGTTGCATTGCAATTGCTTTTCCTTATGACTGTCTCTTATGGTATGTTTCTTGAGAGTGGCTCATACTGTGTCTGTTTTATTCACTGCTGCCTTCCCAGCACTTAGCATAGGACCTGGCACACAGTAGGTGCTTACTAAATATTGGTAGATGGGAATAAAAGGAAAAAGGGAGAATGGAAGAAAGAGAGAGGGAAGAGAACTAATCAATCAGCTGCAAGAGAGGCGATTCTAGTTCGACGAAGACAAAAATGCTTTGAGAGATAGTTGGTGAGCAGGGAGTGAAAGCTGACCTTCTACAAATTCCTGACTCTTGGTTCTTTGGAACAGGCAAATAATTTAACTTTCAAATACCTAATTGATTCAGAGTGAGTCTGCAGCTACTAGAAGTGCATTTTTCTTAAAAGCCCTGCTTCTCTCTTTTCTGAAGTTTTTTTCAGTGCTTAAGGACAACTGCAAAAAGAAGCAAACATTAAAAATAGTCTATTTTTTTTTTTTTTGAGACAGAGTCTTGCTCTTGTCACCCAGGCTGGAGTGCAGTGGTGCAATCTTGGCTCACTGCAACCTTCGCTTCCCAGCTTCAAGTGATTCTCCTGCCTCAGCCTCCTGAATATCTGGGATTACAAGCGCCTGCCATGAGGCCCAGCTTATTTTTGTATTTTTAGTGGAGACAGAGTTTCACCATGTTGGCCAGGCTGGTCTCAAACTCCTGACCTCACGTGATCCACCCACCTCGGCCTCCCAAAGTGCTGGGATTACAGCTGTTAGTCACTGTGCCTTGGCAAAACAGTCATTTCTTAAAAAGGGCAAGAAACCAGACAGTATTACTTTCAGAAATATCTGTTTTGCTAAGCCTCCCCTCTCAATTATACCATTTATCATTGATTCTAAGATGGATCTCTTTTTTTTTGAGATGAAGTTTTGCTCTTGTTGTTCAGGCTGGAGTGCAGTGGCACGATCTTGGCTCACTACAACCTCCACCTCCCAGGTTGAAACGATTCTCCTACCTCAGCCTCTCGAGTAGCTGGGATTACAGGCATGCACCACCATGCCTGGCTAACTTTGTATTTTTAGTAGAGATGGGGTTTCACCCTGTTGAACAGGTTTCGAACTCCTGACCTCCAGTGATCCACACGCCTTAGCCTCCCAAAGTGCTGGGATTCCAGGCATGAGCCACCACGCCCGGCCTAAGATGTATCTTTTTTCATATTTTAACACCTCCACAATCAGAAGGCACTTAATAATCAGTAGCATATTGCAATTCTAAATAACTAGTTTTTCTTTCCCGGTGGGTAAAAATGGTTTGTCTTTTAATCAATTCTATCTTGCATATGTTGAAGAAACCAAGGCCTCAGTTAATTTAGAGATTGCCAAAAGTTATCCTAGAATTTGGAAATTGTGCTTATTTGCTAATGAGGGCTCTGATTTCACATTCAGATGATGGCTCTGGCTCCTGTGCTTCCTTCTATTTCTTACAAATTCCACACATCAAAATGGCACATATTTCACATTAAAATTATTTTTCTCTCTCAGCTGCAATAAATAAGCCAACTCTGTACCAGGACTGGGAGAAGATGACATGGGAAACCTGGAGAGTTAGAGTGTTAGGACCAGTGTGAGATGCAGGAGCATCCACTCTTAATCTGAGTCCTGTGAACGTTATCCAGAAGATGTTTGCTGCCAAATTGGTTCAAAGAGACTCTGTTCCACTCCTGTGAAACCAGGGGATGCAGCAGGGACACCACAACAACACACATTTCCATCTTTGTTCTCCTGCCTCTTCTCAGCCCTGAGGGCCTGTATAATGAAGCCTTGACTAGCCTGGACTGGATCGAATTATTAAGCATTATATTGTTCAGTGACTATTTGGATTTTAATTCCATCATGCCCTGGGTGGCCTTGCCTGACAATCTGGAAGCCTGAGGGAAATAATTCTCTTTGTATTATGCATGATTTGAGGGTCTCACTGTCAGGGAGCCTCTGCTCCAGATAATGAATGGGCAGATACAAGTCTCTTCAGGGAAGCAAAATTTGGTATCCCAAGGTATAGGTCAGGTTGTTCACAATGAGTATCTTGCTGCAGAACACTCATTCAGTTTCATTTAGCTATTTCCCCCATGTGTGTATTTTCCTGGTATCACAAATAGTTTGTTTTTCATTCTAGAAGTTTTCACACTCAGAGAACATTTGGCTCTTGTGTGCTTATATTTGTGTTTTCTTGTGGATTGTATTATGCTAATATATGTGAGGTGAGGTCTAAGAAAAGTTCTTAGAATTCACCTGGCATTTGTCATTAGGATATTTTCATGAGGCCTTTATAAAACTCTTTGCTTACGTGGCTTTGAAAATATCACAATGGCTGTTTCTCTGTTATCCTCTGATAGCAGTCTGTGAATCTTGCTCTCTGGCTGCATCTACACTGATGATATTATCTAATTCTCTAGTGAATTTAGTGATTCTTGTAGAATTAGACTTTAGGGTTCTAGAAGATAATTAAATCACTCACTGGGCAATCAACTAGTGTAAAAAGAAAAAACAAAGGCAAATCGAATTAGGGGCAGGATTTGCAGACATTTCCCCCACAAATAAAATGTTGGAGGGTAAAGGTCTCTAAGAATAAAAATTAAAAAAACAAAACTGATCGTGGAATGAAGGCAGAAATGAAAATGTTCTTTGAAACCAACAGGAACAAAGACACAATGTACCAGAATCTCTGGGACACATTTAAAGCAGTGTCTAGAGGAAAATTTATAGCAATAAATGCCCACATGAGAAGCATGGAAAGATCTAAAATCTATACCCTATCATCAAAATTGAAAGAGCTAGAGGAGCAAGATCAAAAAAAAACTCAAAGGCTAACAGAAGACAAGAAATAACTAAGATCAGAGCAGAACTGAAAGAGATAGAACAAACCCTTCAACAATAACAAATCCAGGAGTTGCTTTTTGAAAAGATCAACAAAATAGACTACTTGCCAGATTAATAAAAAAGAGAGAGGAATCAAATAGATGCAATAAAAAACTATAAAGGGGTTGTCACCACTGATTCCACAGAAATACAAACTATCATCAGAGATTACTACAAACAACTCTATGCACATAAACCAGTAAACCTGGATAAATTTAACCAGTAAAATGGATAAATTCCTGGACACTTGCACCCTCCCAAGCCTAAACCAGGAAGAAGCTGAAACCCTGAATAGACCAATAACAAGGGCTGAAGTTGAGGCAGCAATATAGCCTACCAACCAAAATAAGTCCAGCTCCAGATGGGTTCACAGCTGAATTTTACCAGGCATACAAAGAGGAGTTGGTACCACTCCTTCTGAAACTATTCCAAACAATCCAAAAAGAGGGAATCCTTCTCAAATCATTTTATGAGACCAACATCATCCTGATACCGAAAACCGGCAGAGACTCAACAAGAAAAGAAAACTTCAGACCAATATCCATGATGAGCATAGATGCAAAAATCTTCAATAAAATACTGGCAAACCGATTGCAACAGCACATCAAAAAACTTATCCATCATGATCAAGTAGACTTCATCCGGGGATGCATACGCAAGTCTATAAATGTAATTCACCACATAAACAGAACCAAAGACAAAAACCACATAATTATCTCAATAGATGCAGTGAAGGCCTTTGACCAAATTCAGCAGCCCTTTATGCTAAAAACTCTCAATAAACTAGGTATCGACGGAATATATCTCAAAATAATAAAAGCTATTAATGACAAACCCACAGACAATATCATACTGAGTGGGCAAAGACTGGAAGCATTCCCTTTGAAATGTGGCACTAGTCACGGAAGCCCTCTCTGACCACTCCTTTTCAATATAATATTGGAAGTTCTAACCAGAGCAATCAGGAAAGAAAAAGAAATAAAGGGTATTCAATTAGGAAAGCAGGAAGTCAAATTGTCTCTATTTGCAGATGACGTGATTGTATATTTAGAAGACCTCATTGTCTAGGCCCAAAATCTCCTTAAGCTGATAAGCAACTTCAGCAAAGTCTCAGGATACAAAAATCAATGTGCAGAAATCACAAGCATTCCTATACACCAATAACAGATTTAAAGAGAGCCAAATCAAGAATGATCTGCCATTCACAATTGCTAAAAAGTGAATAAAATACCTAGAAATACAACTAACAAAGGATGTAAAGGACCTCTTCAAGGAGAATTATAAACCCCTGCTCAATGAAATAAGAGAGGACACAAACAGATGGAAAAACATTTCATGCTCATGGTTAGAAAGGATCAATATTGTGAAATGGCCATACTGTCAAAAATAATTTTATAGATTCAACACTATTCCCATCAAGCTACCTATGACTCTCTTCACAGAACTGGAAAAATACACCTTAAACTTCATATGGAAGAAAAGAGAGCCTGCATAGCCAAGTCAATTCTAAGCAAAAAGAACAAAGCCGGAGGCATCACACTACCTGACTTCAAACTATACTACAGGGCTACAGTAATCAAAACAGCATGGTACTGGTACCAAAACAGACATTTAGACCAATGGAACAGAACAGAGACCTTGGAGGCAATGCTGCACATCGACAACCATCTGATCTTTGACCAACCTCACAAAAATAAGCAATGGGGAAAGGATTCCCTGTTTCATAAACAGTGTTGGGAAGACTGGGTAGACATGTGCAGAAAACAGAAACTGGACCCTCCTTGACACCTTACACTAAAATTAATTCCAGATGGATTAACAACTTAAACATAAGACCTAACACTATAAAAACCCTATAAGAAAACCCAGGCAAAACCATTCAGGACTTAGGCATAGGCAAGGACTTCATGACTAGAACACCAAAGGCATTGGCAACAAAAGCCAAAATACAGAAATGGGAACTTATTAAACTCCAGAGCTTCTGCACAGTGAAAGAAACAATCATCAGAGTGAACTAGCAACCAACAGAATGGGAAAAAGTTTTTGCAATCTACCCATCTGACAAAGGGCTAATATCTAGCATCTACAAAGAACTAAAATAGATTTACAAGAAAAAAATAAATGAAGCCATTCAAAAGTGGACAAAGGATATGAACAGACACTTCAAAAGAAGACATATATGAGGCCAGTAAACATATGAAAAAATGCTCATCATCACTGGTCATTAGAGAAATGCAAATCAAAATCACACTGAGATACCATCTCACACTAGTTAGAATGATGATCATGAAAAAATCTGGAGGCAACAGATGCTGGAGAGGATGTGGAGAAATAGGAACCCTTTTACACTCTTGGTGAAGTGTAAACTAGTTCAATCATTATGGAAGACAGTGTGACAATTCCTCAAAGACATAGAAATAGAAATTCCATTTGACCTAGCAATCCCATTACTAGGTATATACCCAAAGGATTATAAATCCTTCTATTATAAAGACACATGCACACATATGTTCATTGTGTGCACTGTTTACAATAGCAAAGACCTGGAACCAACCCAAATGCCCATTGATGATAGACTGGACAAGGAAAATGTGGCACATATACGCCATGGACTACATGCAGCCATAAAAAACAATGAGTTCGTGTCCTTTGTAAGGATATAGATGAACCTAAAAACCATCATTCTCAGCAAACTGACACAAGAACAGAAATTCAAATACTGCATGTTCTCACTCATAGGTGGGTGTTGAACAATGAGAACACATGGACACAGGATGGGATCATCACACACTGTGGTCTGTTGTGGGGGGACTAAGAGAGGGACTCCAGGGGTTAGGAAGTTGGGGTGGGATAACATGGGGAGAAATGCCAGATATAGGTGATGAGGATGGAGGCAGAAAACCACATTGCCATCTATGTACCTATGCAACAATCCTGCATGTTCTTCACATGTACCCCAGAACCTAAAGTGCAATAAAATAGAAAAAAAAGACTGTAATGACCTGCATACATTTACTAAATAGTTTCTTTTCATAAGGAATACTAACAACTAACATTTGAACACTTCTTTGTGCAAGAAATAAATTGTTGGGGTGTTAGTCTCTGAATCAAAATTTAGAAAACTAGTAACTGAATGTATAGGCATAGATATTTTACTAGATTCCCATTGATTTTTTTTTCCATCTAGGTCTAATTTTTTTCCCCTTGAGAAATTATTTTCATCAACTTCTCTCCTTGTTAGAATGAAAATAACTAATATTTTACATGAGCCTGATTATCTGGGCACAGTTCAGGGGTTGTCAGAAGACTCAAACTAGATCTATTATAGTCCCTTCCTTAGGAAATTTGGAATTGGGATCAGGAGATTCACTGTATTACTTGCAACGTGTAAACTAGGTATCCACCTTATATTTTACTCAATGGTTGTCTGAAGGAGAGGGAACTATCGAGCAAGAGATAAATAAATTCTATGTGTAAAGGGGGCACAGGATAGGTGGCAGGATTTTCTGATGGTATCAGAGGCCCTGCTTTTGTGATCTCATAGTAATTCTATTAAATTTTATCTTATTTAATCATGAATGCGTTTCTGTTCTCGATAACCAAAAAGTTCAAAGCAACATAAGGACAGATGTTTAAAATGCATTGATATCATAAAGACTGTATAAGATAACCCAAGTCCAAAACTGATTTTAAATCCTTTTTTTAAATTAGTTTAGAAAAATTGTGGAGTAGGTGGTCTTGCTCAATTAAATGAAGAAAAAAGGTACATAAACATACTTTCTATTTATTCTACTTTTCATTTTGTAGATTGTCCATTTAACAACTTTCACTGAGCATCCATTATCCCCAAACCAATGTAAAGAGTAGCAAAAACAAAGATCATGTATGCTCACACACTCCCTGTCCTTGAGGATCCTGGAATCTAACTGAGGGAAAATATACAGAGGAAGCATTTCTAAGTACTCTACCAAAGCAACAACTGTATAAATACAAATTAAACAGAGCAAAGTAATTGCATAAATGCTGAGGGGTGACAGAGTAATGAGCAGGTTCAAGGAAATGATCTCTAAGGTTTATTTCAGCTACAAAATGTCACAAGGCTGTACGGGACTAATAATTGGATAAGGCAGCACTTAGCAGTAACCCTCAGCCTTAGGGAGCTTCAAGAAACTAGGCCAAAAACAAGCAAGAATTTGAATGAAGCTTGAATGTTGGGAATGCATGCTGTTCTGGACTATAGCAGAAGATTTCATACATGATCACAGTAAGGGGACTCCTGGTAGATATTTGGAATCTGCCTAAAGAGAGGAGAGACAAGTTCTCCTCCAGGAAGCTTTTGGCCAGGAGAGAAAAAGAAGTCCATCTTTGCCAGACTGTTGATGACTGCTTATTAGGTTACCAAGAGAGGACAGGTTGGCTGGCCTTCTAGATTATTTCAATTTGAGTTTCAAGTCAGCATATGTATATATTTTGATTATCTCATTTTCTGACATCCATTTAGATTATTTTCTCTGAAATCCTTGTTTTAAATAAATTCTGTAAATGGACAGTCCTTGGCATCATGTATTAAGAGATTTTAATATGAGTATGGCAGTGTAATAATAGCTATGTTTCTGGAATTAACAGACTCTTTGATAATGAGATGGATATTCGCTGTTTCTCCTTCCTAAACTGTAATTTCTTGACCACAGGGAACATAATCATTTAAAAAAAAATCTTGTTCTCCCTTTTTCTTAGAACAATATATGACACCTAAGAGTGCTCAACAGAGGCAGGAAAGCTTAGTAGTTATGAATTTGGGTTCTGAAGTTAGAGATTTGGTTTCAAGTATTGATTCTGTAAAATTGGATGTGGAACCTTGAGCAAGTGACCATCACTCAGTCTTCCTAGCTGTAAGATAGGGTAATAGTAGCATCCACCATATGTAGGAGTTAAGGTGATAAGGTAAAGAACCTAGAATAGTATGCATAGAGAGCATAGCAAGCTCTCAGTGAAGGGTAGCTTTCTATTTTAATATCTACTGTTGAAAAAAATAGATTATCAGATGAATGGTTGGAAAGCATTCTATGATAAAGTGGTATCAATAAATATTTTGGCCCCTCTAAAAATAATGAAATAAGTAGAAATTTTTAAAAAGTCTCACTATAATTAAAGCTGTAAGTGATTTTTTTTTCCCTCTATCCCAGGGAGTTATATTTTCACCTATCTTATTGGAAAAGATGGGAACAGGGCTCCACATTTTTAATTCACTTAGATTGGTGAGTAGCTGGAACACTGCCGTGCCTACAGGCATATGGGTTACAACGTGGAGATGGATCTTACTGCTGCTAGAAGTATCTGCGAAGCACAGAGATATCCTTTGCTCTCGTCTGCATGTAGTCAGTGATAAGCAGTTTTGCAGATGCAAGATGGTATTGGCAGAGGCTGAGCTGTCATCCAAGTAATGTCTTTTGTCATTTAAACTCTCATTCATTTTGAGGGAGAGGGAGGAAGCATTGCCTTTTGAGCTAAAGCTGTAATGCCAAGGCGTTGTATGAGCCAGAGCTTCTTCAGATCTTATCACTAACCTTTCTTAGGTTTTGAAACACAAAATGGGAACTTCCTTTAACTGAGAAACTTTTTTCTTACAGCTTCATTTGTAACAGCAAGGAACTAAGATTAAATTCCCTCTTTGAAGTCAAGAAAGATAATTTTCCAAAAGAGAACCTCAGAACAGCCATTCAGCTTCAGCTAGTCAAACTCAACATAATAATGAAGGGGAAAAAAGGAATCCTGAAGAAGACTTGGTTAATGTATTAGTTTTCTAAGGCTGTCATAATGAAGTAGCACAAACTGGGTGTTTAAAACAACAGAAATTTACTGTCTCCCAGTTCTAGAAGCTAGAAGCCCCAAATCAAGATACTAGCAGGGCCATACTCCCTCTAAAATCTGTAGGGGAAATTCTCCCTTGCCTCTTCCGGGCTTCTGGGGGTTTAGCAGCAATCTTCGGCATTCCCTGGCTTGTCGGTACCTCACTTCAATCTTCCATTTTCACATGGTGCTCTCCCTGTGTGTCTTCCTGTTATTTCCTCTGTGTTTAACCTTCCCCTGTTTACAAAGACACCAGTTACATTGGATTAGGACCCATCCTAATCACCTCATACTAACTGGCTACCTCTAAAAGACCCTATTTCCGAAGTTACATTCTAAGGTACTGGGGGTTATAGCTTCAAAATACTTTTCTTTGAGGGGGTTGTACAATTCAACCCATAACAATTAAGAAGACAAAGTTTTTGCATTTTGAGAAGGGGTCATGTGTATTGCATTAAGCACAACGTTTAAACTCAAGAATGTTTCTTTCCAAGTGAATGCTGAGGAATGACCAATGCTCAAAGAGTCAGTTTGAACTCTGGGATACTAGGATGTGAAGGAAAGATACCACTCTTCAATGGTCCTCAGGGAAGAGACACAAATGTTTGGTTTAAGAGCAGGCGGGATGAGTCATACTTCTATTAAGAGTTAGCCTGTCTTCTGCACCTCAATGCCCAAGCATGGGGGCAATCTAGATACAGTCCTAGCTGCTGTGATCACACAGCCCACCTCACAGAACTAGACTGCACGTGTAAATTACCTAATGGGTTCTTTCTGGCTGCTGCAATGATAAAACCAAAGGCAAATAAAGAGTTCAATTAATGGAAGGTAGGTCACATGATAGAGTTTTTACTTAAATCAGTCTCCCTGATGGCTTGGAAGTTAGAGTTTTTATGAACAATTTGGTGGGCAGGGTACCAGAGAGTGGCTGCTGCTGATTGGGTGGGGAATGAAGTCATAGGGGTATGGAAAACGTTTCTCATATACTGAGTCTGCCTCTGGGTGAGGGTACTGGACCAGTTGAGTCATAAGTCAGGAATCTGGGTAGGGTCAGTTTGAAAAACATCTCATAAAAAGTCAATCTTAGATTCTATAATAGTGATTTTGTCTATAGGAGGAATTGGGGAAGTCACAGATATTGTGACCTCTGTCCACACGGCCCCTGGGCAGTAAAGGATTACAGAAACTTTACCTATATTTTAGCAGAACTCAGGCTCTTCCCAGAATCCTAATCTTGTGGCCTTTCATTAGCCTTACCAAGTCAGTCTTAAAGTCAGTTTCAGCCCTCAAACATTGGCAGGGGTTGGAATGGGGAATAGAGTTAGTTTTAAAGAGGGACTACTATTATCCTTGCTTCAAAGTTAAAGTATAAGCTAAATTCCTCCCATGGTTGGCTTGGCCTACGTTCAGGAATGAGCAAGGGCAGCTCAGAGGTCGGAAGCAAGATGGAGTCCACTATGTCAGATTTCTCGCACTTCATAATTTTGCAAAGGCGGTTTCATATGGAGCTACTACTGACCATCTCTGTGGGGCAGCTGTGCCCTCCTGAGCTCTGTCCCAGGACTCCCCACCACTTCACATTTTAGTCTTTCTCATGGGAATGCGTGGGATAGTGGATGTGAGTCTTATGGGGTTATTCTGAGGGTTACCCTATATGCAAATATAAAATACAGTAATCTTGTAAGGTGGCTGTAAGAATTCCATGAGTTATTTCATGTAAAGCTGTCAGTATAGTGTCTGTCAAATAGAAATGCCCAACATTTGTGGGAAAATTTTTCAAATATGATCACTATGAAAGTAATTAAACTAGACTGAATTCTTTTCAATCAAAGAATACTTTAATCAAAATACAGAAAAAGTAATCAAAATAAGTGCATTTAAGAATGGCTATATAGAGTAGCCTAAGGTGCCTTATACTAGAAATGCATTCTAATCTTTTAAATAATATAAATCATTGCATAATTATTTTTTATTACATGTGCTGTAATTATGAAAACTTGCATAATCAGTGAAGGAAGGTGATTTAAGGAAGGAGTTGCTGATCGATATACATTGAATTTTAAACCTCTTAAGCACAGTAGATTTAATGAGGAGGAAAATAGAGCTTCCAATTTAATAGAAAAGTGTGGGAAGTGGAAGTTTTTCGGAAACAACCATTAAAATAATGATTTATCCTCAGCCACAACACTAAATGTATTATCATACCATGCTCTCTGTATTTCAGTTCATTAAAACTATATGGATTATGGTTTCTTGTTTATTTCTAGATAGCAAATATTAAATCTCTATCACTATTTAAAGAAAAATGCAACTTTTTGATATTCAAACTAGTTCATATATATGTAAAATTCTGACATAACTCCATATAGACTATTTAAAAGTGTCAGTAATACAGGAAATAAGAAATGAAGACGGAAACATGAGAAAAACAAAGATAAATAAAGGGAGTGGGCCTGGGGAAATTCTCTCATTTTAAATGTTCTACATTTCCTGCCCCGGGGGAATGTGCTTTTATCTCTGCAGTTCTATGTTTTCTGTAATTTGACTTATCATTTTTTTAGTAGATTATAGAGCATTGCTTCCTTTGTCTACAGTGTTGAGGCTATTGCCCTTACCCCCACCCTAGGAATTCTGCCCATAAATCACTTCTTACAGTCACTTTCTCAGACTGAGTGTAATTTCCCTTCTATCTATATTCGCCTGACCTTTCTATCAGAAGATGGAAACTTTTCAGTGACAATTACTTGTGCTCTACGATGAACAAAGTTGAGATAAAATTTTAACTTCTCAGGATATAACCTAAAAAAGGGTACTTTTATCTAAATAATTTAAATGCAGCTAGTCAACATATGCGTGCTTGGCAGTGGCACGACTCGTTGGGCTAAGTGCTAAGGAATGTTGCAAAGTGATGTTGACATGGAGATTCTTGGTAGTAGAAGTTCATGAAGTCAAACTAACAGCCCTTGTCTTTGTGCCTTCTCCTGGAATTCCTGTCTTAACTCTACTTCCCATTATTCTTCCTCATGTTTACTTTAAATTCCAGTCAACGCAGCAGACCACAATTCCCTTTTTTATGTCTTAGTTCATGACATTGACTGTTAAAATGAAAACCTAGCATCCTGCTCGTGGAGTCCCCACACAACACACTTTTCCACCTTTCCAACTTGCTATGTCTCTCACAATGGGCTTCTTAAGCTTAAACCTATATCTTGTTAGCTTTGAATTTGAAGGGTGCACCTGCAGTTTGGGGCATAGCAAGAGCCAGTGTCTTAATGAGAGGAGAGACACTTGACAGGGCCAGGAACAGCAGACCAGAGGAGTACATTAGAAAGTAACTAAATCAGTTATACAATTTTATTTCTGCCTCCCACTAACTCTATTTTCCTGCTTTTTTTTTCTTTCACCTTTTTTTGCTTTCTTTCTTTTTACCTATATATTCACCCAGGGCAGCCCCTACCCCTGGGTGAATATATAGGCAGTCCCTTGACTGTTCTGGTTACTCTTAGTAGTAAAATGTCTTATGAAGTCACAGCCTGGGATAAGTATGTATAATGTCCAGTCGCATATAATTAACACTCCCAACTTGTTTATAAATTGAGGAATCTTGTCTTCCTCTCCAGTTTGGTTCTGTTTCATGTGGAAAGTCTGTGGTTGGGGAAGGGTGGTATGTTTAGCTACTTTTTAAAAACTAGTGGTTCTAACCTTCCCACTGCCCCATATTCCCACAGAGTTTGAAACTGGGTGAAGGTAAGAAAGAATAGAGAATAATCCTTTTACTAGTACATATTTCTGTGAAGGGTTCCAGGGTATTCTGGACTTGGCAGATGTCTAGACTCTGATTCATATGGGTCCTTTCTAAAGGCTCTTTAAGAATCCCCTCCCCATTTCTTCAGGCATTTGGTGGTGGCTCCAAAATGTTTCTGTTATACTCTTAACCCTACATTCTTTCATACTTTTCTTCCTTTTATTTACACATTATATAAATGGAATTAGAAAAATATGTTCAACATAAATGATAGAAAAATAAGTCAGCTCTTGGGCACAATAAAGTATCTCAGTAATTTGTTTGTCTTGAATTCTTGTTACTGTACCTCCAGGGTCTATATCCTGCTGCTCACCACCCAGATTGCCAACCATGAAGTCAACAAGTATTGTCAAGGAAGAGGCTTTAATTGGGTTCTGCAGCCCAAGAGTATGGGAGGGCAGTCTCAAATCTGTCTCACTGAGTGACCGAAATTGAGTGTTTATACACTGGGGAAAGCAGGAATTAGGGAGGAGTAGGGAAGCAATCATGATAAATGAGGGGTTTGGAATCCCTTTGGATGTGGTGATCTAGTGAGTTTCAGTCTCTTGCTTGAGAGTTGGTTTCCTGAGGAAGAAACTCAGTTAAGACAAATGTCAAGTTGTAATATGGAGGGTCAATTTCTATGTTTATTAAAATCCTGTAAGTATTATTTCTGTGGGACAGTTAGGCTGGTTTCATTCTCATAAAAGCAGTGTCATTTCCCTAAAGCCTGGACTCAAGTATATGAAGAGTAAACACAGGATCAAAAGTGACCATTAAGATGCTTTTGATTCTACTGCAAGTTAATGTGGATTAAAGCACAGTCAGTCCAATTAGTTGTGCCACTTAAGGCAGTTGAAAACTTTATAATAGCAAAAAATTTAGCCAATGTTCATGTGAAAATAGTCTTAGTATTAGTGGTAAACAGCCTGTGATTTAGGCATCATGATTTCATTTGATAGGCTATGAAACTAAAGCTCAGTGAGATTAATGACTTGAATGAATTCGACAAGCAATAATGAGGGGCAGAACTAGAATTCAGGTCCAGATCCTTCTGACTCCAAATTACTAGAATAAAATTACATATTATTTATACTACACTCTGTAGTGTCCTAGAATAGACCAAAATAACAGAAACTTTCAAGATGGCGAAGCTGCTCAATAATTTCAAGTATTCAGAGAGGTAAAGATGCAGGAAAAGGAAGGTTAAGAAAATACCTTTGCAGAGAAGGATGGTGTGGTTTTGACCATCTGAAGACCAACCAGTGGAGTCCATCTGGCTAATTGGACAGGTGGTAGCTTCCTCTCTTCACACTCTCTCTGACTGTCCTAAAAGTAGAGAAGGACCATTCTTTTGTCAAAGGGCTGGGATTCCTGCTTAGTCCTTCAATAAGCTCTCAATAACTTTCTTTAGAATAAGCTAAAGAATAGGGTGTTTGATGAGGCATTGTCAGTGGGAAACTTTAAGACAGCAATTGCAATAGAGTGTTGAGTACAGAAAAAAGAAAATGTAGCAAGCAAGGACTTTCCTTTAGAAAGTTTTTCAAATAAAATAAAAAGGGGGAAAAAATGTTCAAAGGGAGGTGTGCATCTCAGAATAAATCTTTTTGAATTTTAATTTTAGATTTTGCAAGACTTAGATACATTCATAGATGGGGAAGAAGGAACCTAAGGAGAGAGAGATGCATTTTGCGAGGAAGAAAAATTATGACATAAATTTGTCATAGCTTAAAGGATACTGTGTACAGATGACAGGCTAGCCATGAAAATAAAGAGATTTTTCCTTTTTGGGTCAGGGTAAAAAGAAGAAAAAGAGAGTCACATGAAGAATTTAAAAATTTAAAAGATTTCTGTATAGAGTGATTGTAAAGTTTATCATTTAAACAAGATCACTTTGAAAGGGAAAGGGACATCATCTGGAGCAGATGTGGAAGAGCAGGCTTAAGCCAAGGCTAATAGCCATGTATGGTCACCCTCCAATGACTTCAACCTTCTTATTAAAATTAACTTTAAGCTGTCTCCCCTACTCTTTGTTTTCCAAACATCTGTTAATCTATCGGGTATATACCTCAGGCCCATGGAGTATGCTTTCTTCTATTTATTTGTTTAAAAATACTTATTAATAACTTTCAACATACCATACCATATTCACTACACTCTGATGTACGGTGGAGCAGTCAGCAATTTTTTTTGATAACATGCTCTGTTAGATTTTCTGAATGTATATTCTTAAAACAAATTTATATTTTATAAATTTTATACATATATCACTGAATCAATGTATTATGTCCATTTTATTTCAAAAGAGAAAAGTTTCAAGATAGAAAAAAGATGAAATGTATATTTTAAAGCTTTATATTTGTTGATGACCAATAATTTTGTTCTGCATAAAATACCAAACTTACTAAACTTTATTAGAATTAAATTTATTCCAAACGTTTTATTGTCTTTGAAGTTATTTGTTTAAAATTTAAAACAGTGATTCATAGATTGGCTTCTAAGTGGATATATTTGGTTTCAATAATATTCATTACTAAAATAACACCTCCAAAAGCACAGTGCATGCAAATATGCAACATGGGCAAAGGCAATGTTTACAGTAATGAATATCAACTCATACCTCGAATAGGCTTGATAATTAAAAGAATTTTTTGCCTGACTTTGAGTCGGAGCCCATGTGTCAACATCATTCCTCTGTTGTTGTGGCTGACAAAGAGATCACTGCACCCTTCACACGTGTGTATACCATTAGTGGTTACATCAATCTCTTGCTTCTTTAGAGGGATATTTTGGAGGCATTAGTCTGTTCTCTGAGATATATCAGTTAAAAACCCAATATAAGAGAATTTACTGGGTCACATAAACTACAGCATATCATAATACACTAAAAGCTGACTAATGAATGAGGATGATGCTGTCATCCTTCTGTCAACCCCTCTTAATTCAGGATATTTTGTGAACCAGATGTGGCATGTCACTATGTAGATTGGTTTGAAATGATCTTACTGATGAACACAGGTCAAAAATAAATACAAATAAGAATTTTAACATTTCTTTCCATACCTCAGAGTGTTGTCTTGCTTATGCTTAGGGGTACTGGCATAGACTTTAATATCACATAGACCTTGATTCAAATTTTACCTCCAGTGCTTAGAAACTGTATGGTCTTCCTCACACGTTGCTTCCTATTTCTGAAACTCATCTATTCGTTGTAAAATGATAATAATAATGCTTGACTCAGTTTTTTTCCTTTTAAAAATCAGCTGAAACAATGACTAAGAACAAAAAATCTGGCAAAGAGGCAAGAACAACACAGTAGGTGTTTACCGACCCCTCAACTACTTCTCTCTCTCTCTACTTTTCCTTCATCTTCTTTCTTGCCTACCATGATCGTCTTATACCCCATGCTTTGTCCTTACGCTTGAAAATAAAAAAAAAGAGAGTAGTAACTTGTATATTTATTTCATTAGCCATTTGGAGTCCTCAAATTTATTGTCCTAGAATGTCAGTTTATAGACATCTGTTTTATATTAGAGAAAGGGGAGCTCTCCCCAGATTCATATATGCCACACATTTCTCCTAAGACTCATCAGCTAGGACCACATGAGGTCACATTAATATGAACAGCTCAAATTCCACTAGTTTTGCCAGCCTTTTCTACTTGTTGGTAAAGGACTTTCAGGTCCCCTGCCAGACCACCCACTAGCATTTCTGGGGATCTCTCAAGAGTACCTCAGATGTGCTCGCAAGCAGTTTTACTCTGGAGGCACCAGCAGCCCTGCTCAGGTTGGTCCTCTTACTGCTGTTCTGTGCACTCTGTCCCTGCTGACACTGCTCTGCATCTGCCCTCCTGGTTTTGGATCCACCTGCTCCTTGCTCCCCCATTGGCCATTTCAGTCTTTCCTGTTTCTCTGCTCAGCACAGTTGGTAGCTGGATTGATTCGCCGTTAAGGAAGACCTGAGCTGGCATCATAACCTACCTGCCTGGGGTCTGTGTCAGAGGAGTGAGATGAGGTAGGAAATGAAAGAGAGCTGGATTCTCTTCCCTTTGCCTCGTGTGCTGGTAGGGTAAAATTGCAACAGATGGATTATACAATTTAGTGAACACAATTATTTTGATTAGCAATTACAGCTTTATTTTCCTTTCTTGGGCTTATACATGCATCCAGGAGGCTGGGGCAGGGGCAGCTCTGAGAAAGTTTCCATAATGTATTCAGGCTCCCCACCCCACTCTTAGAACAGCCTTTGTAATTGGACCAGCAGGTGAACACAGTCCAAGTCCAAGATGAGTTTCTACTATGTCAGGTTCTCGTCATCACCCCAGGCATTAGCAGCACATGCCATTCTGGTGAGATAGTGCTTACAGTGAGAAACAAGAGGCAGACTATAGTGGTATTGTATGGGGAGACCATCAGATAACTCAAATAGATTTGAGCCCTTAAAAACATGTATGAAAAGTGACAAAAATGGGCTGTTGTCTTTAAATGAGAAAGCCTTCAGTTCCACTATAATTTTCGTAAGTTTGTTCTTCTAATTCAGTTAAAGGGCAAAGCAACTTATTTTTGCTACATTGTGCATTTTAATGAAATGCCCTAGAAGCATCAGCATCTCCTTATCTTTCCTTCCCCTGAAAAGAGCAATATATAATGAACATGCTGACATTGAAATGAGTAATTAATATGCCGCCTGTTTAGTCAGTATGAATCAGCGTTTTGTGATGTCTTGTGAGGATAGGATTATAATTGGTAGAATTTCTGCTTTATGGGTGATAATTCTGGATTCTAGAAGGAACACATGCATTAAATAGCACTGTTAATTTGTCTTATAGTAAAGCATACAGCTTTACAAGGGACAAGTAAAACTTAGACAAATGAATAAAAATGAATTAAATATATGCTAGCTTTGAAATATTCAGGTCATTAAAAATTTGTGGCAACTCTTGAATTATTCAGAACATTTTAAAAAACCAATTTAAGAAATCTCTACTGTGATATGTTATCCATAAGGATGATGGATTCTTCAAGATTTACCTGTTCTCTTCTCATTGACCTCTTAGTAATTATCATTCAAAGTGTTGGTTGACTTTTCTAGTTACCTGATATGCTAGGACTGCTGCAGTCTTCTTAGAGAAAGCTCACTGATCTAAGCCTACTTTGGAATTCGTGTTTCTTCTGTGAATGTAGATTGTTCTCATCCATGCCAAACAAGTTCAACCTCCAAGCCATGGCATGATCCTTCAGTGTAACATGACTTCCACTCAGTTTTCCACCAAATTATTTACTTCTGTCTTTTCAAACTCTGCCCTACCTTCTCCAAAGCTGTTTCCCGATTAATCCTAGATGAGACTAATCTCTACTGGAAGGATTTTAGCAAGGGCATCTTTTTGAAATGCGACTCTTTTGAAATGCTCTGGGTAAAGGGTTTCATGAAGAAAGAATTTAGGAAAATGTTGCTTTTATTGTTGGCCTAGAGCACATTCCATAGAATAGTGGTCCCTAGGCATGTAAATGTGTGATCAAATAAGTTAAGTTTCTTACAGCAGAACTTTTAATACATGTCCTAGGAATCATGTACTCTAGCTGTGATAACTTTATATTAAGTTTGCTTGTTGTTTTCAGATTATTTAGTAGTTTATCCTCCATTTTATTTATTTATTTAGTCTTGCTCTATCACCCAGACTGGAGTGCAGTAGTGCAATCTCGGCTCACTGCAACCTCCACTTCCCATGCTCAAGCAATCCTCCCACCTCAGCCTCCTGAGTAGCCAGAATTACAGGCATGTACCACCATGCTCAGCTATTTAATTTTTTTTATATTAAGTTGAGGTCTTACTATGTTGCCTAAGCTGGTTTTGAACTTCTAGGCTCAAGTGATCCTTCTGCCTCGGCCTCCCAAAGATGTTGGGATTACAGGCATGAGCCACTGTGCCCAGCACTCTCCTCCATTTTATGTAAAGTGCTTCAATCTTATTGTCCCATCTATCCAAGCACCAATATTCTTCTGTTCAAAGTAGACTTTTAATTCACGTTGACTGAATGTAAAAATGGAAGGTTAATTGTGATAGACCTAGAAGTTACTATCCAATCTGGATTTGCAAAGATTCCTCATATTTTTATAAATAGTACCTAACAACTTAGTCTTGTACTGGTCCTGTCCATCCTCTTATTCTCTTGTCACCACCTTAGTTAAAAATGCTGCGAAACATATTCAACTTCAAAGCCATATCATGGGCCTTTGATTTTAGTTCCTATTGCTGAAGTCTGGCCTTTCCCGGGTGTGCAAGTCACAGCTGGTAATGATGGGGACCAGATGATGCCCTAGCAGCACATTAAAGGTTTTTACCAGGATGTGGTTTGATAGTTTTGCTTGGGTATTTTGTTGTTGTTATTCTTTCCTCTGGAATGTGAGCTGTGGCCAAGAATTATTTTCCTGATTGCATTTTTGCTATCCCTACACATTTGGAGAGTTAGAAAGTATACAGAAACATAAGGAACATGCTTTTAAACCACTTCTCAAGCTAACTAATGGACTCTTATAGGGTAACTTTTAGCTGTGACCTTTTGTTTATTTAATAAATATGCTTCTATTATGTCCGAAATGCCACACGGACATCTTGGTCTTATCATTTTTACCAAAACATCATTACTCTAGGGTTTTAGAACCAATTAAATGCCTATAGATATAATTCTTTGAATATTACAAAAAAGGTCTTCACCTTTACAATGCGTGTTCACATCATAAAATTATGGGATGTGCATGTGCTGATGATGGTTGGTTGAGATGGATTGTAAACAGTATCTAGGCTATTACTATTTTAAATGTTTATTGTATTTGTTTCATAACATTGTCACATGTCCATTGTAGAAAATTTGAACAATATAAAATAAGGACAAGAAAAATTAAAAATCATCTATAATCTTACCACCTTAAGGTAACCATGTATATCTCACTCTTCATTTTATGGTTGGAAAAAAACAATAGGATTAGTAAAACTGACACTCCAACCATTAGTGTCAGCATCATAACTAGACAGTCTCCCTATTGGTACCATTCACCAGACTCAGAACCTACTGATGATTTTATATTCAGCAATTCTAAATGTTAGAGCTATCCAATCCGAGATGACCTTTTTCCTATATTCATACTCTCTTTCTCTTTATTGTCTTCATCCATTTCTGCTGCTATAACAAAATGCCTGAGATTAGATTATTTACAAATAATGCAAATTTATTTTCTACACTTTTGGAGGTTGTAAAGTTCAAGATCAAGGTGCTTCAGGTTTGGTGTCTGGTGAGGACCCTATTCCCTGCTTCCAAGATGGTGCATCCACGGGAGGTGATGAATGTTGTGCCCTCACATGATGAAAGGACAAACAGCAAAAGGGCCTAAACAGCAAAAGGGCTTGTTCTTCCCAGCCCCTTTAAAAGGCACTAATCCAATTATGACGGCAGAGCCCTCACAACCTAATCACTTCCCAAAGGTGCCGCCTCTTAATCCCACTACAATGAGAATTAAGTTTCAACTCCAATTTTGGAGAGAAAGTATTCAAACCACAGCAGTTATCTTTACAAGGCTGAGGACTTAGAACTATTATCTGTTCCAAATGTTAACCCTGGCTGCTCCTTGGAATCTTAACTGCCAAATGGACAAATCCATTTAGATGTCTAGAGGCATCTCAAAGTTAAGGAAGCCAAAGTTGAACCCCTGATGCTCAACTCTCCCTAGACGGTTTTTTTTCCAGGCAGTTTTTCACATCTTAATAAGGAGCATAACATCTACCCAGGTGCTCAGGTCAAAATCTTCACCTCATCTAGCTTATGTGAATCTGGAGAAAGACCTGGGGTAATGCCAGATTTCTCTGGGCAAAGCCATTATTAAAGAATGTAATTTATAGAGGTCAGTTCTTCCCCTGCTAGAAGCAAATGGAATCCTGTCAACTCCCATGCTGGGGGTAGGCATGACTTTGGCAGAACAAATGTTTTCCATATTGGGAAAAAAAAAAACCCTTATGGATGACCCAGTAATATGTAGCAGACTCCACCAACTGCTGATTTTGGCAGCAAAAATCAACCCCAAGGGCTGAAATTTTCAAGCAGTGGCCTTCTGAGTAGCTGCCAATAAAGTGTATTCAGCAGGCTGACTGAAAATCAGAGTCCCCAGCGAGCCAAGAAACTGGGAGAACGGGTCAGAAGAGATCACAACCCAGAACAGTAGGTTGTCTTTTAGGGGAGATATGTTAATCCACTTCCTCTCTTCTCCTACAGGGCACCCGATGGAATAAGCTGTTGTTGAGAGGGAGTATCACGAAATAAGTGAAAAGAAAAAAGAGATGGAGGAAGACTCTTCATGGATTCAGTGATGTTGGGGAGGGGCACTTTGTATTTATGCAGATGGTCCCACGTGTTGTAGGACATTGGGCATCTCTGGTCAGGGAGGCCAGAAATGCCCACCAGTCACTGTGTTCTGCATATTTCTATGGAAATGGAGCATTTCCAACTTTTCTGTAGTCTCTTGAGAGCATCTATTAGAAAGGAAAAAACTCTTAAGAAGGAGTTCAAGGAAAGGAGTGTGTGTGTGTGTGTGTGCGCGCGCGCGCACGTGTGCACATGCATGCGTGCATATGTGTGTGTGTGTAACAGAGAGAAGAAAGCTCTTTTACCTCTTGAGTTGAGTTAGGGAAACATGGTGACTCACTGGCTCAAGGGTTGCTCATTTCAGGATCCTCAAGGATTCCTCAGAGGACAGAGTACCCATCACCAGGGTCTTGTGGGAGAAATCTTCCATCCTGAACTGAACTGACAAGGCTTTCTGAGATTTGTTTTTTCACATGGATTCAAAATCCTGTTGGAGTAGTATTCTATTACAAACCCTTAAATAACCAGAGTGTGTGACACACTGGAGTATTTGTGATGTCATTTTCTCTATGATGTAGTCTAAGGGCCTGAGTAATGCTACTTAAAAAACATATGTTTCATCTCCTTGCAGCTTGGGGCCCAGAATAGCTCTGGTGATCACATCCATATAGAAAGAAGGGCATAAAAAAAATCTCAGATGCTTTAGACTCAAATCTGCCATAAATATTAATTTCATAAATTTTATAAATACACTAATATATAGCATACCCTTAGGCTATTTATTTCATATCTCTTACCTCAGTTTTCCTTTCTGTAAAAGGGTAATGACAATTACTTTACAATATTATAGGAAAGAATGGATATAATAATTATGTGAAGTATCTGACCCAAATTTCATGGCTCAATAAATGTTAATTCCCCATCTAGCCAGACAGCCCAGATAATTAATTACCTGAAGTAAGAAAAATACTTTTGACTAAATTACCTTATATAGTTATATAAACATCTGTCTTTTTCAGGTACTTTGCAATTTCCTCTTGTCCAACTTATGCTTTTGCACAACTGGCACTAGGCAACTTACAAGATTGCATCTTAACATTACCCTGAAGTTTAAACTGGAACATTAAACCTATGAGGATGTCAGCAGGAAAAGGGATTCTCTTTTTCTAGACTTAAAGAGAGGGTATGATATACCTTTCAATCTGGGTGTCAAGTGACAGTTTTGTTGTAACAAATTGGTGGAAACAAAGAGGGAAAAAACCCACTTGGAACTGATCTATGCTGCAGGCAGCACTGGCATGTATCCTACTCATGGCATGACTAAGCATTTGTTTGCTGTCACGTAACATAACCTTGCTGCCAAATACTTTTAAATATCTGCAAAAACACTCAAATAATTGGAGGGATTTCTTAAGAGGCATTCAGAAGTTACAGAAGTCAGGAATGTCAGTCATGATATAAACATTAAGATCATAAAAACGAAGCTGGGATATGTGTAGTCAGACATCAAAATGGAGCAGTCTGTTAATGGAGCTTCCTTTCGCTGTTGCTCTTTCTTTAAAACATCCTTTCTTATTCAGACAGGTTCATCTTTCCCCCCAACCTCCATCTCTTCTGTTTCTTTCAAATTTCTCTGTAACACAGTCCTTATACTTTCCCCTCCCCAAAATGTCCCTTGAACACCATGAATATCCCAATTATCTTTTATAATAGGATGGATATACAAAGTTGTCTTTATATGTTTATATACAGCATGAAGCTAAGCAAAAAAAATGACAAGAATTGCTGAAGCAAAAAAAAAAAAAAAAAGAGTTAAAGTCCCAATGTTCTCGTTTACTAATTAACCCAGATAAAGGAATACTTTCCAAAACTGCATTCATTTCATGTAAGAGTGCCAAAATTAATGAACTATTCAAGCTCAGCTGGAGTCTCAAAAATGTACCTACTTCTTACAGGAAATACTATTATTTTTTCAATAGAAACAGAAACTCTGGGAAATGAGCCAGTGGCTTCTACTTATCTTCCAATATCTTCTGTCTTGGCCCTGAGGTTAAATATACTCATCACAGACACAGGCACAGATATAAGTGACCTCATAGAGGCTGAAAAAGAAATTAGAAATAGCAAGAGAGGCAAAAAAATAAACAGCGGGTCATTGCTAACATTTGTGTTATATTTAAGCAAAGTAATAATAGCTTAGCATTAATTGGGCATTTACTGTATATGTGGGAGCCCCAGTGATATGTGCTTTACAGGTGTTATTTATCTATTCCTCACACAGCTCTAAATGGTAGCTAATGACAATCACAGCAATCATTCAAGTAACATTTATTATGTGTTAAGTATAGTTCTAAGCAATTCGTAAATGTTAACCCGTTTAATCTTTGTAACAATCACATGACATAAGTACTATCAGTATTTGTGTTTTACATGGGAGGAAAATGAGGCACAGGGAATATTAGTAATTTGCTCAACATCACACTTAATAAGTTAGAGGACCTATGATGTGACCCCCGGGGCTGGTACCAAATATTAGTAACCACCACTAAGCTATAGGCTATTTCTACTGGGTTAAAGGATGGGTTAAAGCATTTTATGTGCACAGTGTTTGCAGACTTTATACCCAAAGTTTTTGTCTTCTGAGTAGCTAAGATTAGGACTGTTGAAGAGAGAAGAGAGACCAGGTTGATCCAGCTAGGGAGGGAGTGGGGGTTGGTGTGTGGGGATGGGTGAGAATGTGCCCTGTGAAGGCACAAAACAAGGAAGGTGAGAGAAAACCAGGAAACATGCTGAGTGAGGACCCACTCCTGCCAATTTTAGTGAGATGCACTTTATGACCTGCCTGGCAATGTCTTTACCTTTGGACCTACCGAGATTCATTCCCAGTCCCTTGGTGGCGGCAACCATGTCCAAATAGCTATCATCTTTTATGAAGACTATATTCCTATCAGCCATTTTGTCCTTCTATTATCCTGTCCTCCACCTAGCGGCCAACAGGGAGCCTTTAAAAAAATGTAAATCGGATTATGAGAAATATAATCATAATATATTTGCTAGAAATCATCCAGATCCTTCTTTCCCTCTTGAAATAAAATGCAGACTCCTTACCCTGGTGTTCCCGGCCCTAGGTGACTGTATTTGCCTAACTAGGCAGAAAACTAAGACTCAAAAAGAACATTCTGCATGGGATATACATTACTTGGCTGAAATCATTTTTCTTAATATAATATTTTTTGCTATCAAACAGGATTGGGAAATTTACATTCATAGGCCTAATAGTTTTCAAATGTATCATTTGTCTTCGGCAAAGATAGAGCAGGTAGAAGAACCTCAGATATTGGGTTCTGCAAAGAAACCATAAGTGAAATTCATAAGAGAGAGTTGGTTTTCAACACATACCACATTTTGAAAGCTCTGACACTAGATCAACACAACAATATCAATCAAACATAAACATTCTTGTGCCCCTTTGCCTTTCTTCCATTTTGCTGTTCCATCCCTAAATATCAGAAGCCAGTCAGCAAAATATGTAGGAAAGAGGAGAATCTTGATTACTAAAACTTTAAAACTAAGAGCAATATTGACTCCAAAGAATCTAAGAGTGAAGGCAAGGCCTGGAGTAAGGGAGACACATATACCAAACTTTGGGGATATTCCACCCACAAAGTGGAACTACCTAATTGTGTAAATGCTATTTATATAAAATACTATCAAAATAAATGTAAAGTTTTAATATTTATGTAGCATTTTTATTTCATTGTCAAAAATATGGAATACCTTTTAATCACTGCTAAGGTCTTGCCATCTGTTTATTTCTTGACACCACAATAGAAACATGATTTTACTTTTTTGTCTGGAGAATATTCTTGTTAATATTGAGTTAGAAAATAGTTCAAACTCTTTAGAAAACTATAGAGAAGCATGGACGCCAAATCAATCCAATGGCTGAGTCATCCACCAAAGTCCTCAAATCTTTTTGAATGTTTTTGGCTAGCATCCCAATTAACAGTATGATAACTCATTGAATCAATTCTCTTTCTGCTACACCAAGTACTCCTAGGATTGCATCTCATAGAAGCTTCCTGTGGCTCTTTCCTATAACACTTTGAATTCTCAACATTGATTTCTGGCTGAAGGGCTTCCTTGAGATACCATGCTAACCCCATCCTGTAGAAACACCAAGTTCACTTGAGGACAATAGATGATCTATTCTAGTTCTGATCTATTCTAGTCCTGATCAAATCATTTGCTCCTTCTGTGATTATTCAGGATCTTGGTCTGGGTGCAATCAGGCAGAGAATCATTAGAACATTTGCAGATTAGTCTCATCAGTTACCTGCTGTGACCACCATCTTCTTGTATATTTATAAGAAAAAAGGTAGCCTGCTGATTGCCATTAAATTACACGAGGATATATTTGTCTTTTGGAACTCCAAGGCATCTAAGTGTAAAATCAAAATTCAGTAAAGAAGGTGAAGGGATGTTCCAGCAAACATTTCTCGAGAGGTAGAATTATAAAACTTGCATAGTGAGGAAGATAAGTACAGTTTGTGTTTAATCATTTTCAGTTGGAAACACAGTTTAATTTAACAAATATCTATTGAGTACTTACTATGGACAAAGTACTGTGTTTGGCTCTGGAAAAAAAGAAAGGAAAGTGAGGACCCTTGATCTCAAGAGTCAGTTACCAAAACCAACATATAAGTAAATGTAATCCAAGAAAGTCTGTAACATGTAATGCAAAAAAGAGCCACAGAACTTTCAACTGGAAAAAAGACCAGATTATAAGGCAATAAGGAAAGTCTTCATAGAGAGGAGAGAATGTATGTTTGTGTAGGTTTTTATTTTATTTTATCTTATCTTTTGGAGCAGAATCTCATTCTGTCATACAGGCTAGAGTGCAGTGGCAAGATCTTGCTCACTACAACTTCCACCTCTTAGGTTCAAGCAATTCTCCTGCCGCTGCCTCTGTAATCCCAGGTTCCACCACCATGCCCAGCTAATTGTTATAGTTTTAGTGGAGATGGAGTTTCCCCATATCGGCCAGGCTGGTCTTGAACTCCTGACCTCAGGTGATCCACCTACCTCGGCCTCCCAGAGTGCTGGGATTATAGGCTTGAGCCACTGCGCCTGGCCTCAGCAGGCTTTTTAAAAGATGGAAAGGAAAAGAGGGAATTGCAACTAAAAATAAGTGCAACAGCAAAGGCATGGAAAAGTGGATGTAGGAGATGCTGAAGGTTTGCCTACCATATCCTATGGACACCTACCTGTTGCTTCTTGCTGCAAGCTTGGCAACTCTACTAGAGAGCCTTTTCTGGCTATGGAGGCATGCTCAATGGGCATGCGGGGTGAGGTTGTAGGGATCAGGGAGTTGATGCCCCTGCATGCAGTCCCAATCAGTGACAAACAGTGGCTTCCTTGTTCCTCAGGTGAGACAGCTCCAAGGTATACTTCATTCCAGTGTCCTGAGGACTGCACCTCAGTTACCAAGACTGGTTA